TTGCTTAATAGATAGGATAAAACTTCCAGCATTAAGGTTTTGGCTTTCATGCTTGAGATATTTGTGCCAGCTGAACACCTCTTAGTATACTCCTGAATACATGATGTATCAGCACCCAGTAAAACCCCCTATAAGTACATATGTATTGTTTACTATTATATAGCCTTGTTCACTTTTTGATATTCTGGTTGAATGACCATGTGCAAAAACAACTAAAGACAAGCCTCTGGTAGTCTCCTCTTACAGCCATTATGAGGCTCTTTCCCAGGCCTCTCCSAGGGAGAAAGGGCTCTGGTAAAACAAAGGATTATATATTGTTTCCCCAGAGCCTTATTCTCATTWTTTGTGCATGGTTCGTCAACAAAAACATCAAAAGTGATCTATTGTTGAATTACCAGTCACAATATTTGTTATCTGAATTGTTTGTTAAAATCTCTGCCAATGATTAGCCTTCTGATTTCACTRGTTCCTGCACCGATCTCATATAGCTTTGCATCTCTAAGAAGTCTGCCTGTTGGGTAGTCATTAATGTACCCATTGCCACCTAGAAAATCAAAGAAGAGAAAAATAAAATAAGAGACAACCAATGGATAACTCTTGAGGAGAACTTCAGCTTTTAAACTGGTTTTAAGACCAGATGCTTCTTTTGACATGGAAAAGATTTCTTGACCAGACAAACTTGATACAATTAAAACAAGCTTTGCTTGACATGGGGTTTGGCCTTCTATGAAATCAAGAGCACAACAATTTATTTTGTAAGTACCTAAACACTGTATAGCATCTAGAGCAACTTGGGTTGCATTTTCTGCTGAGTACAAAATCACTCCWGCACAGTCCTAGAATAGAAAAAAATAACTTAATGCAACATTGTAAACCAAAAGACTTCTCCCTCTGTTTTAAAAATACCTTTGAGTTAATATGTCCTTCATCACAAGCCCTTGCAACTGAATACACATARCTTCTGCAGGCACTGAGCTTGGTATACATGTCAGCCATCTTTCCTTGTATAAACTGAAAATTAAAGAAGTTATAATTGTCTGTTAATCTTTGAGGGTACAATAGGTGAAGGACAAGAAGACAAAGAGAGACAATGATGTAGAAGGATAATTGAAAACAAGAGGTGAAAGATGTGGTGGAGAAAGCTGGAAAAAGCTGAGATAATAGCAGCAGTCACAAAATATTGTGAATTTAAGACAGTAATAATAAACTCTAAGCGTCCTAAGCTGAGACAGAACTATAACACAATGCAGGGCAAAGTCACGTGCCCGAGTAAGGGGAAAAGGAAACCATGACAACCAGCAACCAATGAGGTTGGGTCAAATTAGTTATTTTAATTCCCATCAAAATAAACCATTGTCATTGTGCTTGCCTCATGCCTAGCAAGGGGATAAGAGAAAAGAAGAGGAATATTTGAAGTGTATTAGAAAAGGAGACAGCAATAAATATTAGACAACGTTCATGTGTACTCTATACACTGTACTGAGAGGAAAAATCATTTACCTGAAATTCTCCAATTTTYTGATTGAAAGCAGTTCTTTGGTGTACATAAGGAACAGTTATATCTAAAGCAGCTTGCATGATTCTGTAAGGAAACAATAAACACTATAGAAAGATGGAGAGACTAGTATCATTAGTGTGAGCTGGGTTTTGGAAAGTGAAGCAAAAATGACAGAAATATTTCTGGTAAGTTTTCATCTAGCTTTTTTTCAAGGTGTACCATACATAATTCATCATTTTTTAACATGATAGAAGTGAACAGTTAGACAAATTAACACACACTGCACCATCAGCTAAGTAAATGGTAAATGGAGAGTCAGAGTCTTGCATTAATTTGACACTATAAAATTTTCATCTCTTTCTTTTCTTACCCTAGTGGTCCAGCAGCAAGGACAAGTCTTTCAACATCTAGTCCACTCATCAAAATATAAACACCTTTATTCAATTCTCCCATAACATTTTCAGCTGAAACATGACATGAAAACAAACTGTTTTAATTTTATACTAAGTCTGGTACACAATTGGAGACAAGTCACAGTCGCAACATTCAGCACACGTTTATTCTGGTGAGAGCCTTGGTACAATTCAAACAGACTTTCATAAGAAAAGGCAGTTCATCATAAGTGATGTAAAGTGCTTAGAAATGTGCTTTTGTTTGTATGACAACATCTGTACAGTACAAGGAATGCGTACCTGGTACTCTGCAATCTTCAAAAACAAGTTCACAAGTGTTTGAACCTCTCATTCCCAACTTATCAAGCTTTGGGCTGGTGCTAAATCCTGCCATCCCCTATATAATGAAAACGTCACAAATTATATTTCAATGGCTATCATAGTTACCAAATCACTCCAAATGACTCAAGATACATTACAACCATGGCATGATTAGGCCACTGCATAAAATTGTAGAGCTTTTTTGCACCGTTATATGAAATCCAGTTTTCCTTGATTTTGAATACACACACCTTTTCTATCAGGAATGTTGTTATAGAATGTTCTGGTCTGCCATCACCAGTCTTGGCATAGACGACCAGGACATCTGCATCAGGTCCATTAGTTATCCAGAATTTTGAACCATTGAGGATATAGTGATCACCTATGTTATACATATCAGACATTAACTGATCAGAAATATCACGGAACGCTATCATAATATAGTGGTTTTCCTTCAAATGTGTTCTAAAAACTGATTGACATGATGCGACTTGATGTACAAGATATAATGATATTACTACAAATGTGTGGCATACAACTTTCTCAACTTGTCTGTAGCATTTTGAACCTACAGAGGCTTGGAGGGATACTGCATGTAATGTATTCAAGTCACATGCAATAAGTGGCATACTGTATATCGCGATCGGCCTTAAAACTGTTTAAAAATAAAACACAGCCTCAGCCTATCAAAACTTAGGTATCTCAAGTAAAAAGGAATACTACATGTAGGTGAGCCATCAAAGTCTTTATGATAAACAGTGCTTTTAATAAACTTTTACCATCTTTCTCTGCTTTTAACTTCATCGACACTACATCTGATCCAGCGTTATGTTCACTCATTGCAAGAGCTCCAACATATTCTCCACTGATAAGCTTCAAAGAACAGACAAAAAACATATTAACACATTGTTATGATATAAACAGTCCAAAAGACATGTGTAATCAAGTGATTTTGTACAGTGCATGCCACATTGGAATATCAAGAAAGTCGTACCTTTGGTAAGTACTTTTCTTTCTGCATATTGTTGCCATGTCGAACAATTTGATTTACACATAAGTTGGAGTGTGCGCCATAACTAAGAGCAATGGAGGCAGATGCCCTTGACATTTCCTCACAAATGATACAGTGGTCAAAAAATCCACTTGCACTTCCACCATATTCCTCTGAAAATATATAGAAAGAARCTGTCTTAAAAAAACCTTAGTAACGATAACAATTATGGGTATAATATTCTAGGTAGTTTTCTATGTTGTTTTGAAATGCAGCTTTGACTTTGCATCAAAAAGAGACAATATAAATATATACTTAATTGTGAATAATATTCGTCTGTCTGGTGACTGAAAGAATGTTTTTATCTTTGAAAGTCAACCATTGTCTTGCTTCAATGCAAAGTCACAATTACTCTTCAAGACTGTACAGGGAACTGTGTTGAAGACTGCAATGTATTTCAGGCTTGTACATGCAATATTCTGTCATCATTTTATCAATTGATCTCAGCACCAAATCCATTGATAGAGCTTATTTTATGTGTTTTGTTCTTCAAAGGCAAGACTGCTTTTGCTTTTGTACGACAGTTAGCACACTTGAAGCTCTTTGCAAAGGAACAGAACYTTCTCTGCAAAGGAACTTTCTCTGGGCTTCCTGTGGTTTAACTATCAGATTGCACAGGGACCCCACTTTCAGAAGATGGGCATCAAATGATAACAGAAAGATGTACCTGGAGCTGTTATACCCAAATATCCCATGTCACCAAGTTTTTTCCAGAACTCCTGTTGTGCAAGCAAAGAAATATTAGAATTAAAGTAACCGTAAAATTATTATTCAAAGATAATCACAAAATTACTGATAAAATCAATATAATCATAGTGACTCGATCAATATTGAGTCACATCTACACCATTTCCATCACATAATTTTAAATGTAATTTAAACTTTTAAGCTTACCCTCATTTGAGAAAATTCGTTTTCTTTATCAATCTGATCTGCATATGGAGCTAATTCTTTCTGGAAAAAGTTGTATGACGCCTCTCTCAACTATGAAAAAATAATGATTATTATGTCAAGCAAACTGATATCTAAATGTAATATTTTGTATTTCTAAACTACATGGAATGCGTAGTAAGAATTATTCACGTGTACGTGCATTTTAAACAAATTAATTTAATGAAAATTTACGTTTTTTTCGACTTAAGCTTACATGTCTTTCATGATCTGAAAGTCCAAATACTTGGTCATCYACTGCCAGAGACATTTGTCGTAAACTAACTCGTTTGGGTCCAGAAAACAGCAGCCTTTTCAGGCCTGTTCTAAGAGAGCACAAGCGAGCCGCCATCTTGAATAGTTGTGTAATGCAATACGTCATTATTTATTTATGTTAGAGGGAGGGGTGACTCGGGCAAAAAGTCAAATCCTAAATATTAATAAATCTTTGTAGATATTTTATATTTACAACCAAAAAGGACATAAAATATTCAGTTTRATTCTTAAACGGAATATTGAATGCAGTATGAAAAGACGACTTCCATTTGTTCTTTTATTTCCAATTGTAGTTCTTCCCTTGGCCTCCCCACTTAGACTAAATTTTAGTTCTACTCCCCAAGCTCTTTCCATATTCAAAATGGCGGGACTGGGTTTCGTGAAATGGCTTCTCCCTTTGGGCATTGGAGGCGCGATTGGCTTGTTTTTCTGGTCCGGAATGAGCGTCTTAGCGCTTAAAACAGTTATATTATGGTTGCTGATAAGTTTTGGGTTTTTAACGTTAATATTCCATGCATCTGGYTCATCGTTGTTAGGGTTGATTGGAAAGCTGTTTGGATACGRGGAAAAARCCAAGCCACCAAGTATGCTCAATCTGTTTGTCAAATCTTACTATTTTATTAGCTGAATACATTGTTTTACATTTAGGATTTCATGATTATGTTTTACAACATACTCTGGGTCCTATTTTGGATGTATATTAGCAGTAATTTGATCAGTGGACGATGTTGCTCAACAAAAATTMATTTGAACAGCTGGGCATCCGTCGATTTTCGACTGTTTTATAAATAACGTTATGCATAATTCTAAAGATCATAATGTTTCGCTSCCTTTCTACATTATTCAGACATAGCAACCTCAGATCAAATATTGCATAGAACTATGTTAAAGTTAGAAATGATAGTGCCAACTGCTCATCCATGTTTGCTGTATGATTTCTTTAAAATTTTTATATTTTCATCAAGTGTATTTATTTTAGGTTTTACCAATGAGGAGCTTATAAAGAGAAGGCAGAAAGCTTTGCTAAAGAAGCAAGGAGATTTTGATAACAAGGTACT